TTTCTTCCACCAGATTTGAAGGTGCTAGAATTTACGTGTACAGTGGTCCCTCGTTTTTCGTAATTAATCCGTTCCTGGAGGAGCTACTATAAACGAAATTTACGATTTGCGAATCAATTTTCCCCATAAGAAATAATGTAAATTAAATACAATTAATCCGTTCCTGACACCCAGAAGTATTAAAACAAAATTTTTACATGAAATATACATATAGTACATAAACAATACAATGGGAAATGATGAATGAAACATTAACAGCATAACGCTTACCTTTATTGGAGATTCTTCTTAGTGTATGGGAGACTGGAGGAGGAGAGAGATTGGATTGTTTACAGTTTGGAAGGGGAATCCCCTTCCATCAACACCTCAGGTACCAATTGCTTTTCTGGGGTTACTTCTCTTCTCTGTTTCTTAATGCCACTAGGACCACCATGAGAGTCACTGGAGTCCTGTCTCACAAAATAACTGTGGAGAGAGCTCTGTTTCTGGTGTCTCTTTAACACTTCCCTAAAATGGCCCAAGACTTTGTCACTGTACATATTTCTCACCTTCTTTACCACAGGCTTGGCACTAGGAGCTTTCTTTGGAGCCATGGTAGCTTATTTAGTACTTGCAAGCACTAAAATGAGTGGAATATTATGAAATATTTCGTAGGAGCACTTGAGGGGACCTTCACTCACTGGTAAACAATGCCAGACTGGCTGGGTAGGGAGGCCGCCCCGGCTCACACTGTGCTTACGCGTCCCGGACAAACTACTATCCGTGAGTCAACCTATGAAAAGCGAGTCCATGTTTATACGAAAATACCCCTATGATTGGCGAAATTTACGATTGCCGAGAACTACGAAAAGCAAGGGACCACTGTACAAGTACATGACTGACCCTGGCTGCAGTGACGTACAGGTACATGACTAACCCTCAAAGGGTTTATGGAAATGACAGACAGTCCTCGATGATGCACTAACTTTCTTGGGTTATCCTGGGTGGTTAACCCTCTGAGTTAAAACTCCGAACAAATCTTATCTTATCACTAGCAGTAAATTGGTACATAGGAGATAGTTAACTGTTGTGGGTTGCATCCTGGGTAGGACTTAATAAAGAACCAAGTGAGACAAAACACATACAGTACATTAATTCTTAAAAACATATTTCCTTTCCAGTCTAAGAGGCTCTATCTGAGATAAGACCTTGGGGAAGATGTCTCCAGTACATACGTATGTACTATGTAATAGTAGGTACAATAACTTGTTTCAGTTATTGGGTTATCCTGGATTAAATCCAAGTACTGTACCATTACAGTACAGTAATTTAATACATATGTCCATTATAAATATGTGCCTCAGAGCCCTCTTGGGTTAAGTAAATAAGTATACAGGCGCTACCCTACTGACGAACATTCAAGTTGCAAACATTTGGACATACGAACAGACATTTGGACATAGAAACAAACTGTACAGTATCAGTACATTACTGATACTGTACAGTATTGTCTTCAAGTTTTCAATGAACAATGGCACAGAGACAGAACAGTAATTATTGTTTTTAATATTATTATCATGATAATAATATTAAAAACAATAATAATAATAATGGAAAATTTTATAGGGGTTACCTGTATGTACCTCAACATTACATGCATACGAGTAATCTCATTGGGAGACAACAACCATATTGTTTACCGTAGTCACCCCGTGTAGACATGTGAGAAAACTTAGCCACCCCTGGTTACTACAGGTGGTCCCTTCGACCTCACAATCATATCCATATCTATCAGAGACCAGTATAAATTGGATAGCACCCATAAGTATGGCGCTACTAATTAATTGTGGACTGCATAGATTATACTAGTTTAACTGAATCAAGGGGGGGAGAGTAGGTTACACATGGATATATCCATCAAGGAAAAACACTTGTATATAATCCCACCACTTACCAGATATTCTCTGGTGGTCACTTGATGTAGCTGGATCACCCACAACCTATCCAATTACAACATACCTAACTGGCCAGTATCAGTCTACTATAACTAGAAGGGTTATTTAACTGTGGGTGGTTGATGCTTCTTATTTCCTCCATTCACCATCTCATTTTGATGTCCTGCTACACCAACACGTTTCTTACTCCAGCAGGACGAAGTATCCGTTGGTTTGTCCCGGTTTAGAAGTCGTGACTCCATAAAAAATTCACTATTCTCGGGACGGGAACCACGAGGTCTACACGTGTTCACTCGGAGCAAGGCGACTTGTTTCACTTCATGCATTCTCTTAGCTTAGTGTTATTATCACTGATTACATTACAATTCACAAGACGATTTAATGTCTCATAATTATTATACACATTAGAGGTCACTGCAGCGCTGTATAGCCCTTGTGGCTTAGCGCTTCTTTTTGATTATAATAATAATAATTAGAGGTCACTCCATTAAGATCTGAGACCGATGAGTGAGGATTAAATCACAGGTATTTTCCCTGGACACACTCCATGGCGGCGCACCAGTCACCACCAGTCCTACCATTATTCACTAATTTTACCACTTATTACAGCGGTCCCATAAATCACGTTCCCTCACTCTTCACCAGGGACAGTTATGACACTTCCTATTATGAAGTGAGGCCTATATTAATCCTTAGGCCGCCATGAACGCCAATTTCCTGGTCCCATTTTGTCACAGCCTCTTAACTCCATTCCAAACACTCTTGCTCCCTGATGCCCCATCTCGACCTCTCCCCTGCCCATCAGCGCAGGCGCAGAGCTTCCCCGTTGGTTCTATTCTATTTTCAAATGGATTTTTTTGATCCATATCAATACATTTAACACCTATTAGGCACTATAGCTTCGGAACATTAAAATATTTTTCACAATAATTGTAACAATAGAAAAATGGCAAAATAACGACTTACGAACAATTCAAGATACGAACAGCCTTCTCGAACGTAACTTGTTTGTAAGTTGGGGGGCATCTGTACTTGATAAAACCCACCCTTGAATGAAACATTAAAATGATTCTCTGCTACTAGTGTCTTTAGTTCCACTTGTCAGCTTTTGCCATTGTCTACCTATTTTACCTCTGATTAAAAAAAGACAATAAATAAATACCTACCAGGGCACAGAGGACCCAGTTGCTGATAACCTGGTTAACTAAGCAAACAGCAGACGAGCCTAGACCATGGTTTGGCTCGAGGAGTAGAAAAAACTTGGGAACTCATCAAAGGTATATCAAAGATAAATGCATTATCTGCCCCTAACAATTTTAGTTATAACAACATGTAACAAGAGATGGTCATCTCTTGGAGAAAGGAGGGAGAGGCCATGTTTCAAGCTTAACGTTTATACATTGCTTTGTGAGTTAGGTTTGTAATAGTGAGAGATATGTACCTGTTTCCTCTATCAAAAGTTTCTCTTTATAATGGATGACAGTTATGTTAATTTACAATATACCGGGTAACTTTTTTTTTTGTCAAGGTTTTAGCAGTTGGCATAAAAATGAACCACCTTAACCCTTTGACTGTTTTGGTCATATATAAATATGTCTTACGAGCCACCGTTTTTGACGTATATACATGTATACTCATAAATTCTAATGGCTTCAAATCAAACAGGAGAAAGCTGGTAGGCCCAAATGTGAGAGAATGGGTCTGTGTGGTCAGTGTGCACCATATAAAAAAATCCTGCAGCACACAGTGCATAATGAGAAATAAAAACTCCGACCATTTTTTTAATTAAAATGCCAACTTTGTGGTCTATTTTCGTATAGTATTTATGGTTGTATTCTCGTTTTCTTGGTCTCATTTGATAGAATGGAAAACATATAGAATTAGAGGTGATTTTGATTGGTTTTACTATGAAAAGAACCTTGAAATGGAGCTCAAAGTAGGGGAAATGTTTGATTTTTGCCAATGTTCAAAAGTAAACAAATGATGTCATTTTCCAATAAATGTCCAAGTAGCCATTCTAATACGCAGTCATGAATGGGTTGACATTATTTATACAATTATTACAGTATTGCAGTAGTCTGCATAACAGTAAATCTTCTATTTTTAATTGTTTGAATAAAAATTCAAAATATAAAGCAAGAGTAATATCAGAGGGGCTTGGAGACGTGACTGATGAACAAAGAAAATGTTATTTTAGAGCCAGAAATGTCTTCATTATTCATTTTGGACCTTTGAAATTGTCATATTTTTTAATTTTCGTGAAATTGGCCAAATTGCAAATTTCTGACCGCATTATTGGGTAGTTGAAATTGGTAAATGGGCAGTTTCTTGTACTCAATCGATATAAAAAATGGAGTTCTAAAGAAATAGCTATGAGCTTGGTCGACTGGAACAAAGGAATTAGCCGAAAATAGGGCTCAAAGTGGGCAAAATTGCCGATTCGTAAATACAGTGGACCCCCGGTTAACGATATTTTTTCACTCCAGAAGTATGTTCAGGTGCCAGTACTGACCGAATTTGTTCCCATAAGGAATATTGTGAAGTAGATTAGTCCATTTCAGACCCCCAAACATACATGTACAAACGCACTTACATAAATACACTTACATAATTGGTCGCATTCGGAGGTGATCCTTATGCGGGGGTCCACTGTATCGCCGAGGTCGCTAACTTCGCGAGAGTGTAATTCCATCAGTTTTCCATCAAATTTCGTTCTTTTGGTGTCATTACAATTGGGAAAAGATTCTCTATCATTTCACAAGAAAAAATAATTTTTTTTTTTTTTTTTTGGAATTTTGTGACATAAGGAGACACCCTAGGATTTGGGGTTGCGACAGTCAAGGGGTTAATTAAACTTGGCATATCTATTTTTATAGGTTTGAATAGCATCTAGGGACTGTAATTCAACAACCAAGAAAATTATCTATTGTATGTGATAAGTTTTTGTTTTTTCCTCAAACACCAAGTTAATTCTTACCTGGCACCAGATCAATGCTTCCTCAAGTTTATATCATCACTTCTGTAATCTACATTCATTATCAGTTTTTTTCAGTGTGCTAAAATGTATTTTACAGTACATTATTTCTTTCAGCATGGTATTGAGGCATGAACAGTAATTAACAATGTCCACCACGGAGAGTCTTGAGAGGGATCGTCAGTCAAGCAACACATTAATGGGAGGAATCACCTGTCAAGACACTGACTGTACCAACTGCAATATTCTAACTAAGGTTCGACTCGTACCATTGACACTGAAATATCTGTTTTTTTTATACTCGAGTCATTACATGAGAGAAAAGAATAAGCAGCAAATTAGGTACTGAGCCTAATGTGCAGATGCAGAAGATAGTATTGACACAGTCCTTCAGACTAAATATTAAGCAATTAATTCATTCATTAACCTGGATTTTTGGCTGTAGTGGCACCTATTCTTTTCTGCTGTACAGCACCTCATTTATGTAATATGGTAGAATTACATAAGTTTAACAAGGTTTGGTCAGGTTGTTAAGTTATATTAGGTGCAAAATAAAACAAAAATTGCTTGCCATATTCATGCGACTATCATTACAAAAGTAAAATAAAAAGGAACGAGTTTTAATTTATGCTGGCTTGTGTGACGGACTTATTAGATACATATAAAGTGCTGAACAGTATATAGATATGAAAAAAAACTTTTTGAGCATAACACTTATTCTCGAAGTAAAATAATATGATAAAGTATGTGGTTAATATGTTTGGTACATTTTGTGTGTGTTTTGCAGAAGCTTGGTGTGAGTCGGGAGTGGAACAAGTTTTATCAGCAAAAACTTGAAAATACAGAGTAAGTGTCATCTTGATTTGGTGAGTTGTATTTCAGATGAAACCTAGAAATATTGTACTCTCAAGGTTTTTTTTTTTTTTTTAGATAGGCTGTCTGTGAGAGTACTGTCTCTCTTGTGGTAAGCAGACAGGAGTGAACCTTACCACTCCATGTTCTGAATGATCCCAGTAGGTTTAACCCACACAAGTTTAGTGCCTTATAATTTTTTTTTTTTTTTTACCTCAGTGTCCATCTCCTGCCATAATACATATTCTCAAGTGTATATCTAAATTATTAAGCTTTCTTTCAACACACCGGCCGTATCTCACCGAGGCGGGGTGGCCCAAAAGGAAAAACAAAAGTTTCTCCTTTGAAATTTAGTAATATATACAGGAGAAGAGGTTACTAGCCCCTTGCTCCCGGCATTTTAGTTGCCTTTTACAACACGCATGGCTTACGGAGGAAGAATTCTGTTCCACTTTCCCATGGAGATAAGAGGAAATAAACAAGAACAAGAACTAGAAAGAAAATAGAAGAAAACCCAGAGGGGTATGTACAGTGGACCCCCGCATAACGATCACCTCCGAATGTGACCAATTATGTAAGTGTATTTATGTAAGTGCGTTTGTACGTGTATGTTTGGGGGTCTGAAATGGACTAATCTACTTCACAATATTCCTTATGGGAACAAATTCGGTCAGTACTGGCACCTGAACATACTTCTGGATTGAAAAAATATCGTTAACCGGGGGTCCACTGTATATATATGCTTGTACATGTATGTGTAGTGTGACCTAAGTGTAAGTAGAAGTAGCAAGACGTACCTGTAATCTTGCATATTCATGAGACAGAAAAAAGGACACCAGCAATCCTACCATCACGTAAAACAATTACAGGTTTTCGTTTTACACTCACTTGGCAGGACGGTAGTACCTCCCTGGGCGGTTGCTGTCTACCAACCTACTACCTAGAAAATTATTAATGTGTTTATAAAATAAGCTCTATATTTGAGTACACAAATAACCCACACATAGGAGAAAGAAAATCATAAGGACGTTTCAATCTGATTTGGACAATTAATTAGTCTCACGCTAACACACGAAAGGGAGCCAGTATATATTGGAGAGCTCGTACAGTTTGTGGAAAAATTTAAAAACGATGGACAGATTTCCAAAAATTTGCCATGTACTGTACCTCAAACATCATTACTCTTATGTATCCTTACCTTATCTATGGTATGTGCTTTCCTATGTATTTGCTTATACATATATGGTTGCAGGGTTTGAGTCTTAGCTCCTGGCCCCACCTCTCGGCTTGCTGCTTGCCAGATTCACTCTCTCCTAGCCTCATGAGTCCTATTATACCTATTCTTAAAATTATGTAGTCTTCCCCCATCACTTCTTTGTTGGGGTGGAGGCTTCCTGACATCCCTATGATGCATCTGTATCTTTATATTCCACTTCTGCCCATGATTACCTGTTTCTCATCTTTCAAGTAGCCTGTCCCTGTCTGGCCTGTCAGTTTCTCTTAAGTATTTTGTGTTGTTGCCGTGTCACCCCTGATTCTGTCCTTGAGGGTATACATAGGGATCTTCAACAGCAAATCCACTAAAACTTTGGGTGTACCAAAGCATTAATATCACTATCAGTGGGCACCAGCTATTGGGGTATCAGATATTTGGGGAAAAAGTTGTCAATACCTGCTGATACTTTGATATTTTTAATATTACACATGCTTAAAAATATAATGAACACATTACTTGAGGATTGTGAAGGTTATTCACACACATACACGCTCATGAGCACACATACATATGTGCACAGACAGACAGTCACTTAGTCAATACAGCCTCTCCTCACTTAACAATGGAGTTCCATTCCTAAGACCACGTCGGTAAACAAATTCGTCACTAAGTGAGGAGCATACTGTAATGGTAATGGGTTTGTGTCACTGATCTTTGATATTATTTTAATGTCACCTTTGCACTATTTATAACATTTTTAGTGTATTTTAACCCTTTCAGGGTTTCCGACGTACTAGTACGGCTTACGCACCAGGGTTATTTACGTACTAGTATGCCTAAATTCTAGCCCCTTCAAATTTAGCAAGAGAAAGCTGGTAAGCCTACATATGAAAAAATGGGTCTATGTGGTCAGTGTACACAGTATAAAAAAATCCTGCAGCACACTGTGCATAATGAGAAAAAAAAAACACTTTGACCCTGTTTTTGGTTTAAAACAGCGACTGCGCTGTATTTTCATATGGTATTTATGGCTGTATTCTAGTTTTCCTGGTCTTATTTTATGGAATGGAAGACATATTACAGAAATTGAGGTGATTTTGATTGGTTTCACAATGAAAAGTACCTTGAAATTGAGTTCAAAGTAGCAGAACTGTTCGATTTTTGCCAAGTTCAAAAGTAAACAAATCATGCCAAGTGTCCAATACACGTCAATTGGTGAGTCTAATATTTTTTCACAAGTACGCTGAGGTCAGTGGTCAAGTGCGGTCATACCGTTAAGCTCTTGGGAGTTAACGTGGGCTGTTACCCATACCATGGCTTGTTGTAGTGCTTTAGAATCCCAGGTTCAAGTGTTGAAGAAGGAGATTCTACTTCTTCAGGAGGAAAATAGGAAGCTGAAGCTTCGCATAGATGAGTTTGGGAGTGAGTGTGAGAAGGATTTAGCTGGTAAGGAGGAAATGGTCACCAGCAGTGATAGTGGCAGCCACTTTAAGTGGCAAGTGGTTCACAGTTCAGGAAGAAGGAAGATGAGGAGAGTAAGTAGAGAAGATATGAAGGTAGGAAATCGATTCTCTGTTCTCCAAGACGAGTGTACTTCAGTGGTTAGTGAGGTTGAAGGTACCACTGATTCCCCTGCTAATCAAGGTAAGAATATTTTAATAGTAGGCGATTCTCAGGTAAGATATATGGACCGTGCATTTTGTAACTGAGACAGAAAGGTCCGACAGAGAGTGTGTCTTCCTGGAGCTGGTGTTGATGACATAGTCAGCAGGTTGGATAATATTATGGCAGGTAATGGGAACAAGCCCATTATCTGTCTTAGTGCTGGGGATAATGACATTGGGAAGGGCAGGAGAGAGGAGCTGCTGGATAAGTACAGGTCAGCCATAGAAGTAGTTAGGTCTAAGGGAGGGATCCTAGTCATATGTAGCATCTTGCCTAGAAAGGGAGTGGGCAATGAATGGATGTCTAGGGCAATTGGTATAAATTGCTGGCTAGACGGGTACTGCAAGGAACTTGCAATCCCATTCATTGATAACTGGGACCTATTCTTTGGCAAACAGGACTCGCAGCAATGGTTTCAAGTTGGAAAAATTTAGATTCAGGAAGGATATAGGAAAGCACTGGTTTGGTAATAGAGTTGTGGATGAGTGGAACAAGCTCCCGAGTACAGTTATTGAGGCTAAAACGTTGTGTAGTTTTAAAAATAGGTTAGATAAATACATGAGTGGGTGTGGGTGGGTGTGAGTTGGACCTGACTAGCTTGAGCTGCTGGGCCTGGTACAGTGCTCCATCCTTGAGTGGGGATGACCAGACTGGGTGGGTCATTGGGATAATCTGGGGGGTGGGTCATTGGTCTAATCCTGGGGAGGGGGACATGGACCTGCTCTGGATGGGTCAGTAGGCCTGTTGCAGTGTTCCTTCTTTCTTATGTTCTTAAGTGTGCTGATATTATTTATACCATTTCTACACTAATACAGTAGTCTGCTTAACAGTAAATCTTCTATTTTTTGTGAGAATAAAAATTCAAAGTGGAAAGCAAAAGAAATGTAAGAGGGGCCTGGGGACATGACTAATGAACAGAGGAAATGTTATATTAGTGCCAGGAATGTCTGTCTTGTTTATTCTGAACCCTATTTGGAAATTGGCATCTTTTGAAATTTGTGTGAAATTGGCAAAATTGCTAATTTTTGACCACTTTATTGGATAGTTGAAATCGGTAAATGGGTGGTTTCTTGCACTCATTCTATAGAAAAAATGGAATTCTAGTGAAATACAGTGGACCCCCGCATAACGATGGCATCACATAGCGATTTTTCCGCATACCGATTACTTTTATCGCAAAATTTTTGCCGCGCATACCGATTAAAAACCCGCTTACCGATTTTCGTCCGAGACGCGTCCAATGTGCCCTCAGCCAGCCTCACATGTGCCGGCCGTCCCATTGTTTACCAGCCAGCCTCCGCGGTAACATCCAAGCATACACTCAGAATATTTCGTATTATTACAGTGTTTTTGGTGCTGTTTCTGGAAAATAAGTGACCATGGGCCCCAAGAAAGCTTCTAGTGCCAACCCTGTGGTAAAAAGGGTGAGAATTAGTATGGAAATTAAGAAAGATTTTGAAGGGTTTGGGCTAACCCTGAGAAGCCTATGCCAGTTGTGGAATCCATTGTGCCTACTTCAAAGATTAAGGAAATGTGTGCACAGTGGGTTGAACTGCAAACCTTTATAGATGAAAATCACCCTGACACAACTGTTGCAAGCCGTGCTGGTGACTATTTCAATGACAATGTTGTGGCCCATTTTAGACAAATCGTAAAGGAACGGGAGGTACAGAGCTCTATGGACAGATTTGTTGTGCGACAGAGGTCCAGTGACTCTCAAGCTGGTCCTAGTGGCATTAAAAGAAGAAGGGAAGTAACCCCGGAAAAGGACTTGCTACCTCAAGTCGTAATGGAAGGGGATTCCCCTTCTAAACAGTAAGAAGATAATGCTCTCCCCTCCTCCCATCCCATCAATCATCACCAGATCTTCAATAAAAGTAAGTGTCATTTAATTGTGCATGCCTTTTTCAGTTTGTGTGTATTAAAATTAACATTTCATGTGGTAAAAAAAAATTTTTTTCATACTTTTGGGCGTCTTGCACGGATTAATTTGATTTCCATTATTTCTTATGGGGAAAATTCATTCGCATAACGATTATTTCGCATAACGATGAGCCCTCTTGCACGGATTAAAATCGTTAACCGGGGGTCCACTGTAGTTATGATTTTTGTC